TTTGAAGGAATTGAGAGTGTTTTAGACTGGTTTCGGTCATTTAACAGAATGTACAGTGCATTAAGAAGCCCACAGCAGGGGGATACAGTTGTGCATCTAATGGCTGACAGGGGCAGTCAGGGAACATGGAACCTAAACCAGGGGTATTCACAGCTTAACACTGCATTACACAAACTCACTGAACCAAGTACTGTATGTGGAAAGCCATTAGTCCAGAGTTATTATTTTAAAGGATAAGGCAATGCGAATATATTTCAAGGTAAATCAGTAAAACACTTCACAAAGACAACACAGATCTGCGGCATAACAACAGCGATGATTAATTAGCAACAAAAGTTCTATAGCATGTATCAAGAAATGTGAATTATGCCACTAATGGCTTCCCATACCTCTCTTTCACCGGTAGTATCTCTGCCTCGTCTCACAGTTTAAAAAACCCTGCTCTAAATCAAAATTGCAAAAATTGGAAAAGCAAGTTGATTTTTTTATGTTTGGTTTTATTGCAAATGAAAACCTTTACAGATGTAATCAGAGAAAAAAAAATACTTTGACTAAATAATTCCATATGAAGGCAAAGAAATCAGTCGATGTTGAAAGAACATCAAACTAGATCCTAAACATGTTCAGGACACAGTGTATTGTACAAGTCCATGCAATAATCAGTGTCCTGCACTGAGTACACACAATAACATCGCCAATGAAATTCACTTTATGCACTATCCATAAAATATACAGTAAGTCATCCCAAAGTGAAGGGCTGTCAGTTTCCTCTGATCAGGATGGAAACACAGGCTGTGTATCAGACCACATTATGTTGTCTGTAAAAATTTAAGTTTTTAATTTTCTTAGAAAGATACAATGGCACGGCTTTTATAATTAATTTACAATAACAATCCAATAACTGAAACAAAGCTGTTCAACAGATAATGAGGCGTTTAGATGGCTTTTTCAAATGAATAAAACAATATAGTGAAAAAAACCTTTTCTGATTTTGTGTAGGCCTATTACACAAGGAACCTGAGCTGTAGTGAATTTAGAGTAGTAAGTGTGAATACATTAACCAAAAGTTGATTCTTAAAACTGACTGTCAAAGACAAGTATTCCTCCTGTTGCATGTCTCAGGTCACCTACAGTAAAAAAAAACAGCAAAAGCAACCCAACCCTTCATCAGTCAGTACCAAGAGAACTTCCTGCTAAACACTTGACTGGAAAATGTTGGCTAGGCTAGGTTAGATCTTCTCTCTCAAGCTTTCTTTTTTACTTACGTATCAAAACTTTATAAAACTTTATAGTGCTGACCTGAGGTGATTACTGCGGTTTTTCACCTCATTATTCATTACTATTATATCCCAAAAAGGCCTTTGTTATTCTTTTTTGTGTTGGTGATTTTAAGGACTGAAACCCTAAGATTGTAAATTAAGTCAGAGGTCTCAGAGCAGAGTGGACAGAGCAGGGGTTCAGAGGAACTGTAGGACGACTGCTCATTGTACCATGAGGGCTCCATCACTTATATCCAGTCTGGATGGAGAGTGATCCTCCATGTCCGAGAGGAGGCCCCCTCCTCCCCTCCAATCAGTTAAAGAGCATCTTGCAGGTTGTTTTTTTTCTACATTTATGCTTAAACTTGCTTGAAAATTACAATTAAAAAAGTGAATGTAGGATTTGATATGTTTTACGAGACATAAGGGCAGGAATTCAGAGGGAAAGGAGCAATTTTGAGCTCTGCTCTTAAAAACGGCTTTTTTTTAAGGTCATACGTCAAACGCGTCATATTACATCACAAAGGGTAAACATCTCTGCTCTCTGACCGCGGGTATAGTTAGTAGTTGCGTTGACTTGAGCGGTTGTGTTTTAGTGAGCTGGTATTTTTCGGTAGTTTTACATTGTATTTCACCATTTGTAATCATGGTGCAGTATTGTGTTTGTGCAGGTTGCACAAATACCAGCCTGTCAGGACATCGAGTCCACAGTAAAAAGGACCGGAGCTAGCGTTCGTTCCTGGGTGCATTGTGCATCCACCTCCCTGCAGCACATACTCTCCACAGCTTTATCAGGAAACCGTATTACTTCTCTCTCCCCCCCCCCCTTCGCTGCTCTCTCTCTCTCTCCCCTCCGGTACACGGCACCGTAAGACGTAGTGTGGAGTTGCATTAGGTAAGTTTTGTCTTATGGTCGAGTTGATTTTTGTGTTGCCGAGTTAAGTTGCGTGTGATATATGTTGACGAGGCCACCAAGTGCTACAGTAGCTAGGAACCTAACCAACTCGGCTCAACCTCGGGTTTCGGTCAAGACGCGACTGAAATGACACTGTACAGTATCTGTCCACAAGATTGTCATACTGGAATTTTCTTTTCGGCAAAAAATGGACCTAGTCAGAAAAGTCTGAGGCAACGTCGTGGAAAAATTTCTCTAAACCTTTTATTCTCGCAACACAAAAGACTGTGAACCACCAAAGGGACCTCTGTAGCCCCTCGTGTACTGTAGCATATTTTCTCATGTTTCACCGGAAACGTTACTGTCCAGTGGAAATTACAAAAGTATTTATATAAAAAGGAGGGACCACTTTTAACGTACCTTGAATAAAAATGGGAGAGTTTCTGGCTTAGCTCTTGGCTTTTATTGGCCTTGCTTTTCGTCTTTGGCCTTAGTCTTGGCTTAGCAATTTTAGGTTTGCTATGAGTTGGGATTGCTGTGCGTGTTTTTTGTGTAATTTTGTTTCACGCCGTTGCTAGCCCTTACTACTCCAGTATGACTAGGAGTAGTGCATGCCTTTTTTTTCTGTATTTTGTAAAATTGTTGCCGGAGGTCTGAGGGTGTGGAATAACCTGACTTTTCCAAAAACTATGCTACCTTTCCAGAAGATTTTAGGGTCAAACGCACTTTTCGACCGTATAATGTAGTCTACTGTGGTTCACATTCAGTGTGTCAGTCTTCGAGAAGTCTCCCCATACAAAAAACAAATTTATAACACAAAGTCAATAATTTCTCGTTGGAAGGTCCAATTTCTTGGGACACTTAATTTACACTATACTTTTAACTACTTTGTGATCTAAAGGTTTTTTATATGTCTTTTATGTGATGTCCTGTAGACCGCAGCAAACGGATTCTTTCAAGTGAGGCGTATTTTTATCGAGCCGTGCACTGAGGGCGCACACTGCATTGTACACCCCTTTGTTTCCCCCTCTCGCCGGCCCACATTTGCATAATTATTGTACTCAGTGTTCGATCAAAGCTGTGCTTCTGGTCTTCTTCACTTGCACTATAGCTTACGTATACTGCCAGGTGTGGCAATATAATACCCGGACGTTCCCGGAGGGTTACTCTGGTCCTCGTCGGTTCCTAATCTTTCTTTATTACCCGGTAGCCTCTCTTTAACTCGACACCACACTCCTCTTGGTCACTCTTGACCCGTCGATAACCAACTCACTCGGCCGTCAATCGATGTCTTACAATCGATTGCAGTTTAGTGTTGTAAACACTTCAACGCTAGTTTGATAGTCCGTATTGATTTCATCGTAACTATTCATTATCATTGCATGACCTCCTGGACAACTATGACTTAGGATTGTCTTTGATTCCGTTCATCGTCGGTATAGAGCGCAATGGATCCGTTGAGATGTTGATCCACGACCCATGGCCTCCTCTCTGCGTTCTTGACGACTATGACTGCTAGACGCCTCTTCCAAACCCCGGAGGCAACTATAGAAACGGCAACTTTACCGAACTACCTTTTCGTCCACACATCAGGCCCCTCCCACGTGTCGACTAACGTCGTCCACTCACCTCCAACTCAGGCCCTCGGTCCTCACGTCGCGGTGGTGCGTGTGTGTTTGTTGTGTCCTGTCCCCCTTTGTTGTTTGTGTTTCTCTGCCGACCTCGTCATGTCGGNCGTGAGGGGGGCGGGTTCGGGGAGAAGCCGTGCAGTTAGTGGCTCTGTCCATTGTGATGCCGTGACGTGATTGGCTCCGTCCATTGTGAACTCGCGTCGTTATTGGTTTAAGTCAAATCTCCACAATGGACAGCGAGTATCATGATTGGGTGATAGATTGGAGTTTGACAGACGGACCTGCGCCAACTAGCGCCACCCTCCTCCCAGGCCTCTTATGAGCGTTTGCTGCTCCGACTCCTGTGCACTATACTGCCAAGTGTGTCAGGGACTGATTTAATGTTTCCCACACAGTAGCATTAAGTAACTCTACAGAGCCAAAATACATTTACACAGCAACATTCTTTTTACTTCCTTACTGCTATTTAGGGAATCAGGAGGCTATATGGTTTTGGAAACTTCAAAATATGGACATGGGTTTTTATTTATCTTTATTGATATGAATGAATTGAGTGAATAACCAATTACGTTTCATGTTAGTTCTTGACTTACTAAGGAAGATAATTAGCTATTACTCATTACATCCTAAAACAGAACTAAAAACTAGTAAAAATAAATAGTACTCAGAGAGTCAATTACCTCATTCACACCAACGGTGTTTCAGGGCCGGTTCGGAGCTGGAGCTTGAAAAGCACCGGGTTTTCCTGTTCAGGTGTGAACAGGAAAACCCGGTGCTTTTCAAGCTCCAGCTCCGAACCGGCCCTGAAACACCGTTGGTGTGAATGAGGTAATTGACTCTCTGAGTACTATTTATTNGCGTTATAATCACGTTTTTCGAAAAAACTAAACGTAATATCCCACTACAAAAACAAACGCAAATATTTAATTTTAAACAGTCAAGTCCTTTCAAGTCATCTGTCTCAAGCTTAAGTCAAGTCTCAAGTCATGAATACCAAGTCAAAGTCAAGTCAAGTCTTTTATCAATGTTAGTCAAGCAAGTCTCAAGTAAAAAAATATGCGACTCGAGTCTGACTTGAGTCAAGTCATGTGACTCGAGTCCCCACCTCTGGGTAGTACCCATAGAGTCCAGTAGAGGGCTCCGCCTGTGCTTATATAACTAGGGTTACAATCCGTAACCCATCGATACGGTTTATGGTTTATTTGTATCTTTTTGATGACAACAGGGGAGAGCTACTGGGTGTTTGATGCTGAGAGGAAGATAACAGGCCCGGATTCAGTGCGGCAGCTGGGTCTTCCTGTCTCAGATATCCAAGCAGCTCTGAAGTGGGAGGAGGACCACGTGGAGAAAGTCTACTTCTTCAAGTCCGCTTCTTACTGGCCCTTCAATCCGCAGGAGAACCGAGTGGACGATGTGCATCCGGGCAGCATGCACGCGTGGGGGGGGATCCCCGGAAATATTGATGCAGCTTTTCGGGACAAATATGGTGAGGACTGGATTCGCCTAGCAACCATTTTAACTTGTAACAGTTGTTAAGTAACTAAGTACATTTACTCAAGCACTGTACAATATTGAGGTACTTGTACCGACTTGAGTATTTCCATTTTATGCTACTCCACATGTATTTATTACCTTTAGTTACTTTACAGATGTGGATGAATGATGTGAAATCTAATCAAGTGTTAAATCAGACTTTAGTTCCACCTGGAGTAAATTCACAAGCTACCCTGCAGTATACAAAGTCATTCAAACTAGCTGCACCTTTACCAGCTTTGAGAACACTTTCATGATCAATCATTATAAAACATATCATATATATTATTCTGAAATGGACCAATCTGCACAATGACTACTTTTACTTTAGCCACTTTAACTATATTTTGAAGCTAATACTTTTCTACTTTTACTTGAGGAACATTTGTAATGCAGGACTTTTACTTGTAACAGAGTATCCTACACTTTGGTACTTCTACTTTTACTAAAGTACAAGATCTGAGTACTGGTGCCCCCTTGATGTAACCTTTTCTCGCTCTCTCATAGGCTATGCTAACTTCCTGAGTGGGCAGCACTACTGGAAGTTTGACCCCGTGGCGCTGAAGGTTCTGGACGGCTTCCCACGCAGCATCGGAACGGACTTCTTTGGCTGTTCTGCCTTTTTGTATAAATAAGTTCATACAGATACAACTGGTACACTTGTGAAGAGCAATGGCCGTTTTTAAAGCTGCATCCACAAACAGAACATTCTGAATATTTCAGAAATATATGTAAGGCCAATATATTTAATTAAGATGACTCAAAACTTATATCACCTCTAAAAAGTCACTACCCACACGGAAAAAACCGAAATGTTGACTTTAATTAAATGTATAATGTCAACATATTTCACATAACTGTATTACTGCAGGTTAGTTAACTCAATAATATTTGAATAAGACATATTAGGTTTAACTTATTATTATTGCTTTCAACTAACCTAATACAGTTATGGGAAATGTGTTGACATGATATATAATTAGAGTCAACATTTCAGTTTTGTCAGTGCACTGTGACTACATCATTTTTATTTTTATTTGCATTTTAAAATACATGAATAATCTACTGTGAGTTACATGTGCAGTAACAGGCAGTAAGCATCTACTTCTTTTGTCAGTTTGAGATGATGAGAAGCCAGACAAAGCTTCTCCCTCAGGCTAAAGCCTGAAAACCACTCGGCAAGTTTCCTGAGTGTCCTGCGACCCTCCTGCAGATCTCAGAGTGACCTCTGAGGGTTCAAAGGTTCAGATTGGTGGTGACGGCCCATGCTGCGATGTGAAGTGTTGTCAGGGTTGTGTATTTAGTGGAAGCAGGAACCAGTTCTCTATAATGTCTGGAGTAAAAGCATCACAAATCCAGCAGCACCTTGCTAATTAGCGGAGTTGGCACATGTATTGAGGCTAGAGTTCTCTCATACCTCATTCACACCAACGCAACTCTGGTTCAAGCTCCGTGCTAGAGCTTTTCAGGTTCAGAAGCGGTTCTTCGGTTTAGCTCCGGCTCTTTTCACACCGCCCAGAGTCCGACTGGTGCTGGTCATTGCGTCATCGTTTGCGTGCCTGCTTCATAAAGCCAAACCGCGCGGAAACCCCTCACAGCTCACACCGACAACAACAACAATGGCCGATTGTGTTGAAGCGCTACTCGTTTTGGTTTTGCTCTGTCGAAACGGAATGGAAGAAATGGGACGACTTTACGACCAACTTTACAGACGTTACATGCTACATTCAAAACTGCTTTACAATCGTAATCATCAACTTCAACGACGATTCCCCACTGCCCCTGCCTCGACGTAAGCGTGACGTATGTGGTGCTTTTGCTCTAGCCGGGCAATTTTTTGGTGCTTGAAACGAACCGGATTACGGAGCTAAGAGGCTGCTCCGCTGCGGTGTGAACAGGAAAACCCGGTGCTTTTCAAGCTCCAGCTCCGAACCGGCCCTGAAACACCGTTGGTGTGAATGAGGTATCAGAGGATCCAGGCCACGGGTCTAACCGCGTCTCAATGTAAGCATGTTATATTTGCTCTGAAGGACCCGTCAGAAGGCGGGCCAAACAGCCCTGCATCCTGGCTGCTGTAGGTCTGAACACTGAGAGTGAGATCACTTTATTCTCAGAGATGTTCCTCTCTCCTGGAAACATTTACATTATTCTAACATTAGTTTTTCTCAGCAGAGCACCATCAAAGGTGCAACATATCTGAAATGACCAGGGTCTATGAACACAGCATCATGTTGTTGTAGCACCTGAGGTTTTAAAATCACATGCCACCACCAAGGAAAAAAACCTTTAATCAAAGTCAGCGTTCCTATTGTGTGTTACTGGCAGAGCTGTACACATATTATAATCCTGCATACCTCTTCATCTTATTCTTCCTCTTCCACCTTAAAGTTAAGACCGCAACTAGTCCCGGAGCGTTGCTACGACCCACTAGAGTTGGGTACCGAAATCCGGTTCCGGTTCGGACCGTTTCCAACATTTCGATTCCATCGGTATCGTTTAGAAATGTTAGTTTTGGTTCTGCTTATCGATTCCTAAGTGCATTAGGGTCCGGAACAGTCCTGTAGCTCCAGGTGAGTCATTTTTCCTGCCCGATCCGCAGCATAGGACCGCACGTTAACACGTAGGGGAGCACGTCTGTATGAGAGGTCGAAAATAGTCCTTGCATAATGTAGTGAGAGGCTTGTTGTGGGGGGGAAGCGATCGAGAAGAGAGAGAGGGGAGGCCATGTGCCGTGGCATTCTGCATCACACCTCAACGTAATCCATCTGTGACACCACCGACATGACGAGTCGGCAAGGAAAACACAAACAAACAGAAGGGGACAGACACAAAAACACATCAACGCACCACCGACAGTGAGGACCGAGGCCGAGTTGGAGGTGAGTGGACACGTAGTCGACACGTGGAGGGGCTGATGTGACAAAGGTATAGGTAAATGTTGCCGTATAGTTGCCTCCGGGGTGTTGGAAAGAGGCGGTCTGCAGTTCATAGTCGTCATAGAACCCAGAGAGGAGGACCGCATGTGTCGTGGCTACACGATCTCAACGCGTATCCATTGCCGCTACTTCCGACCTATGAACGCGTAATCAAAGACAAACCTAGTATAGTTGTCAGGACGGTCCATTGCAGATATAATAGTTACGATGAACATCAAATATCGGACTATATACTAGCGGATAAGGTGTTAAAACACTACACCTGCAATCATTGAAGACATCCGATTGATCGCCATAGGCAGTGGTTCTATCGACGGGGTCAAGAGGTGACCAAGGGAGTGTGGTGTCTGAGTTAAGAGAGAGCTACCGGTAATAAGAAGTTAGGAACCGACGGAGGACCAGAGAACGCGGATCCGTCGGGTATATAGATATGTCCAACACCTGCAGTATACGTAAGCTTATAAGTGCAATTCAATAAGACACATAAGACACACGCCTTTCATCGTAACACTAGGTACAAATAATATGCAATGTGCGCCGGCGGAAGGGGAACAAGGGTGTACAATGTCCAGTGGCGCCCCTCCAGGCACGCTCCGAAAAATAACGCCTTCACTTGTAAAGAAGTTTTGCTGCGTCTACAGTGACATCACATAAAAGACATATTAAAAACCTTTAGATCCACTAAGGTAGAAAAGTATGGTAAATTAAGTGTCCAAAGAAATGACCTTCAAGAGAAATTATGACGTTGTGTTCATAAATCTTGTTTTTGTACGGGAGACTATACAAAGATACACACTGAAGTGAACCACGGAGACTCCAGGACTACTATTATAACGGTCGAAAGTGTTTTTGACCCAAAATCTTTTTGGCAAAGCGTAGATAGGTTTTTTTTGGAAAAGTCAGGTTATTTCACCCATCCGACCTCTCGCAAATTTTAAAAATACAAAGAAAGAGGCAGTGCAATACTCCTTAGTCATACTGGGAAGTAAAGCGGCTAGCAATGGCGTTGTAAAACACATTACACAAAAAACACGCACAAGCATCCAACCCATAGCAAACCTAAATTGCTAAGCCAAGACTAAGGACCAAGACGAAAAGCTAAGGCCAAGTAAAGAGCAAGAGCTAGGACAAGAAACTGGATCCCATTTTTATTCAAGGTACGGGTTAAAAGTGGCCCTCTTTTTACTATAAATACCTTTTGTAATTTCCACCTGGACAGTACGTCTTCACGTGAAAACATGCAGAAAATATGTACTTATACACAAGGGATACAAGGTCCCTTGAGTGGTCTTCACAGTCATTTGGATGTTTGCGAGAGTAAAGGTTTTAAGAGAAATTTTTCCAACGACAGTTGGCCTAGACTATTCTGACTAGTCTAAACTTGTGAAGGATAACTACAGTGTCTTCCCGCATGCCGATAACCCGGTTAGGGTTAGCTCCTCCCCTGTCGGGTGCCTGTAACGGCAAGCTATTCGCGACCTCTGCGACACATGTATACGGTCGACATCTACCACGACAAGAGTGTCTAGTCGGGTACTACGTTCTGATCACAAATTTAAACTGCGCTTACTCCCTTCCGACTTTTACGTGGGGGGGGGGGAAACTAACAACCAGTAAAACTTAATTTCTTCAATATTCCATAGGACATCCATATCCATACAAGGACTAGATATAAAAAGTTTTATACGTACTATCCCAGGTGAAGTTGCAGTATCAACATAAGGATAAATGTTTAGTGAATTATGACAAAGTAAAAACGCCAATAACTTGATGTAATATAATTTTTATTAGAGACGTAACAAATCATCCAAGTTCACACACGTCCAAACCTTACATGTTACGGTCAGAGAAGATTACAATGTGACGTTGGACGGACCTCCTGTCTCAGGTGGATGTCAGACACAGGTTGTGGTAGGACGAGTACCGGGTATATGGTGCTATCCCAACGGTATAGACAATGGTACGACGCGACGTGGTCACAGACGAGGACAAACAGCTTCTGAAATAAAAGTAAAGTATATTCATAAAAAGTATATGGACGAAGTTTTTTATGGAACTGGTAGGGACAACGAGAGGTCAACAGGTGCAGGACCCCTGCGCACCCTGTCGCGCCCTCCTGTGTCTGGTCCCACCGACCAAGTGAAGTATTTCCTTTACCGCCCAGTTACAATGTCGTCTCGATTGCGAATAATTGGAAGTAATGGCAACAATCTCTTTCGTTGTAATCTTTCAAACTGTTTCTACTTCGACAATTTGCCCGTCGCCACGCGTACACCCATCTTTTTCGCCTCTCCCTTCTCTCTGCGACTCGACGTGCACGTTGCTAGCGACCTAGGCCTCGTCTCTCCTCTCTCGACCCACAGGAGGAACAGGAGTGTTGAGAATGATTTAGGCCCATGCCCTGTTAACAATAAACAAGGAATGAGACCTTTGAGTTCAAAACGAGGTTTGGACGGTGACACGAGGTTGTGCGGCCGGGGCGGGGCAATGTCCTTTTCCGCCACTC